AACCATGTAATTCTTGTCTTTATATCTGTTTGATGTGATGAATTACATTTATTGATTTACATATGTTGAACCAACCACCACTTGATCATGGTGCACTATCTTTTAAAAATGTTTTTGTAGGCAATTTGCCAGAATTTTATTAAGAATTTTTGCATCTATGTTCATCAGGGATATTGGTCTGAAGTTTCCTTTCTTTGATGGATCTTTGTCTGGTTTCATAGAATGAGTTTGGAAGGGTTCCTTCCTTTTCTATTTCATGAAATAATTTGAGAGGTATTGGTGTAAGTTCTTCTTTGAAGGTCTTGTAGAACTCARTTGAGAAGCTATCTGGTCCTATGCCTTTCTTTGTTGGTAGGCTTTTGATGGCATCTTCAATTTCTATGCTTAAAATTGATCCATTTAAGTATTCCTCCTGATTCAATTTGGATAGGACATATGTCTCTAGAAATTTGCTGATGTCTTCAAGATTTTATATTTTATTAGAGTATAAATTTTCAAAAGAGTATCTTATTATTGTCGGTATTTCAGTAGTGTCTGTCATAATCTTTTCTTTTTCATCACAAACTTTTCTGGGTATAGTATTCTTGGCTAGCATCCATTTTCTTTTACAGYTTGGTATACATTATTTCAAGACCCCCTAGCTTTGAGGTCTGAGTAGAGAAATCAGCTGAAATCCAGTTTGGTTTCCTTCTAAATATGACCTATTTTATCTCTGGCATCCTTTAATATTCTATCCTTATTCTGTATGTTAGGTATTTTAATGTGGATTAGTGTAGGTCTGTTGTAATTTTGTATATTCTGGGTCCTGTAAGCCTCCTGTGTTTGATTTTTTATTTCTTTCTTTAGGTTTGGGAAATTTTCAGGCATTATTTTATTGAAAAATTGTGCATTCCTTTGGTTTGTATCTCCAAGTCTTCATCTATCCAGATAAGATCTTTTCAGGTTATCCCATATTTCTTGGAAATTCTGTTCATGGTGTCTTAATATCTTTTCTCCATGGTCCCCTTTATTTTCAAGATTATATATTTTGTCTTAATTGCCGGAAATTCCATTTTCCAAGTGGTCTAGTCTGTAGGGGATGCTACAGAATTTTTATTTTGGTTTATTGATATCTTTATTTCAAGATTTCTGCTTGATGTTTTTTTTCCCCACAATCTCTATTGAAGCAATCTTTCACTCCTGTATTTTCTCTCTGATTTCACTCTTTACATCATCCTTTATCTTAGGATCTATACTCCTCCTCTGACAGTATGGATCTGAGTCAGTAGAGTTTCTACCCCATGAACTTATAGAGTCCCTGAAGGTTTCCAGTTCTTCACTGTTTAGGAAGGAGAAAAATAATAACAACAACAAATGCAAACATATACAGCATTTAATCAAATAGTTTCTGTTATTATGTATACAATATTAATTATCACAATAAACAAATGATATGACCAGTTATTGCCTACAATAAAAATAGTAGCTTTACAAAAGGGTTTACACTTTCAAATGGTTGACAGGGAGAGAACAGAAGTGATATAAGATGATTTTGAAGGAGGAGGAGCAAAGATAGAAGTAAAAAGTGAAAGGAAAAGTGAAAGGGAGAAAAATAGAGATT